CAAACTCATTTCTAGTGAAAAGTTATCTTCAGAACAAAATTACAGTGCTAATAAAACTGTTCTTTTCTGTGTACTGCGAAATACCTTGTCAACCTGTATAGAAAAGGTTCCAACTAATGTCAAAGATTCCAAATTGAGACTAACAATTTTAGCATGTGCAAATGCTGCAGGAATGCACAAACATAAATTTCATAATCGGAAAAAATACATGCATTTAAAGGAGTAAAGATTTTTCGTGTCATATATTGTGCAAATAAAAGAGTATGGATGACACTAGTGTTAATGAATAATTGATTAGAAAATCAGTTCATGCTCAAGGCTCGGTAACATTTGAATTCGGGTGGTTTACCTGATGACGCAACAATTGTCCTGACCATAGACAGCTATTCGGTTCATACTTCACTTAAAGTTTTAGTGAAGGATAATGTAGGCATAAGAATAATATGGCTACATTATCCTTTCCTCCAAATTGGACATTTATCATTCAGCCTATGGATACTGGAATAGTGCTCATGCAAAAATGCAAGTATAAAGTAGCATTTTTTAAATCCATGTTAAATTTCTTGAACAATGGCAAGATTATTGAAGAACTTTTGATATATTTTAGTGTAAAATATGTTATGTGTAGCATTGCAAGATCATGGAAGGTTGATCTCCAGATACTTTAAAAAACGCTTGGCATAATTTATGGCCAACTACCATGTTTCATGGTGATTATGATGCAAATGATAGCCATGAATTTCAAGGTTTTGGGATATTGCAAACCAAAAAAGGTGAAATTTTCCAATTAATGGATTTTGTAAAGAAATGTGGAGAAGCAGTAATAAATGAAGATAATATAACGGAAGTTTTTTATTGCAGTGACAATGCCCCAGTCATGAATCCATTAAGTAGACGCTGAAATCTGTAGTATGTTTCTAAATCCAGAAAATATTGCTACTGATAGGGAAGAAAGTTACAGAAAGATTATTGAAAATGAAAAAATTTCAATTGACAAGTTATCTGGAATTCTTGACACAGCAATTACAAGACTTGAGCAGTGGAGCTTTGTAACTAAACAAGAAATTACGTATGTCTATAGAATTAAAGAGAAAGAATTAGCACAAAAAACAAAGCAACTTAAAACAACTTTACATTGAAAGAAATGTTTAATAAAATAAACAAACAAGGTACTTTTCCATTTCACCGGTGCAAATCTCGCCAAGCAGACTTTATTGGCGACAACATGCAATATACACATAAAAAATGTTAACAAATGTTAGTTCTAAGAATTTTTTATTTTGAAGGCATAAACATTTTAATATCGTTTAAAATTTTTTAAAATGCCAATATAAAGACAATAAATTTGTAAAAAGACAATTTAAGAATTTACTATGCTTTCATGATTCAATGGTTCATATCATGTGACCCCAAGTGATCTCATCTCACGTAAAGTACGTTACAAAAATCTGATTCTCTCAGTAATTATCTACATTAATTTCAAGTTAAATCTTAATTTGGAATATAAGTTTAAATGCAAGAATTATTTCAATTCGTACTAATAGCTTACTCAGAAATTATGTAAAACCGTAGTGCTTTACTTCGCTAGTGCATTCTCATTAGAATTGATGAATTTAACCCTTTGCCTTTTCTATATTTTCACCTTCGGATGAACGGTGTGATTGCATCGTAACTGACTTAATTACTGCGAACGGCCTTAGGGCATAAAATTGAACTATTTGGTAAAAATTCTATGTACTTGTATGCCAGTATTGAAAGAAACACTCAATCTGATAAGAAATAGCTGCAACTTGTTTTGAAAATTAGGCGTAAAAGGTTACCAGTGAGGATATTATGTTTGGCATGAAACGGAAAAATATCGCAAATAAATATTAAGCTCTCTTTTCTTTTCTTTTTTTTTCCTTCCCCCGCCCTTTTTTTTGTAATTTTGATTTATTTCATAAATCACGATTTCATATTTTTTATTTAATCATATCTACATGCCATCTTACTAGATTTAAACTGATAATCTAATATCCGGAAAAATCCAAGTCCGGATTTCGGAATTTGTACTGTATTTTTTAAATAAATCTCTTTTAAGCAAATAAACTAGTTTCTGCTCATCAGTTATTAATTTTGCGCAGAAGATTAAAAAAGACCCTAATAAAATTCTTCTTTTAGCATTTGTATTCTTTTATATATTATCTTTCCTGGATCCATACTAAGTGGTAAAGTATTATATACATATATATATATACTGTCTGGGTTCATTTATTTAGATAAAGTAAGCAAGAGCTATCTGTTAAATGGGAAGATGCCTTTATAAAGGATTTTCTAAGAGAAATTGGCTCATGAAGTATATTATCTTGCATTTCTTATTTGTTTTTCAATTATAATATATTTCCTTAGCATCTTCAGCACTAAGAGCCCGTGATTTGATTTTTGAGTCAGATGCAGTTTTGATAAGTAATGCTTTCACAGGTATAGATAGGCATATGGTGCTAATTTTTGATGGTCAGCAATTAATTTGCTCTTACAAATGGCAATTAAATAAAATAGCATTTTGTTTTGAATTATGTATGTATTTTATTTATGTATGGCATTAACCATACTCATCACCTAGGATGCCGACAATGCTGTAGCCATGCCTGTTTATCACCAGCTATTATATTTCATGGTAATGATATAACTGCAAATTTGAAGTTTTAAATTAATACAGTTTGTGAAGAATAGCAAAATTAAAATGGTATAACTGAAGTCTTGCATTACCAATGGAAGGGCCCTTGTCATTAATCAGTTAACAAATGTCAAAATTGGAAAGCCTCCCAAAAAATAAATAAACTGTGATTAAGAGGGAAAGCATAGTTACATCATTAAGGAAACCAAATTAAACTGATAACACCTGGTGCTGATAAAATAGGACTCTCGGAAAAAAAAAAAAAAAAAAGAAGAAGAAGAAGAAGAAGAAGAAAACTTGTGTAGAGGCTTTTATTGAAAAGAAATGAAAAAATTTCACATGTGTTGAATATGTAAAGAAAAGCTAAATGGAGATGATATAGTGTAAGTCTTCACTGCATTGACAATGCTCCACTCATTGATCAGTTAACTAAGAGTGAAACCTGTAGTATGGTTTTTAAATCTGGAAAATATCACCACTGCTTATGAAGAAACTGACAGAGTATTTGTTAAGAATAAAAAGATTTCAAGTTGCTTATTGGGAATCATGGCACTAATAGTACTTGAACAATGAAGTGTGCAACTTTATAAGAAATTATGTCTCTTTATAAAATTAAGAGCATTAACACATATAATGGAAATTGTTTAAGAAACTTAAATAGAAAAAAAAATTACTGAAACAAAACAACTGTTAGCATGAATTTTTTGGGGGAAGGTATGTATTTATGTATGTATATGTGAATTTTGATTCTCTTAAGGTCATAATTGTGTCATCATTTCACAAACAGCCTTTCATATTTTTTATTTTATGATTTTTCCATGCAATCTTACTAGATTTGAATTGATGATCTAAAATTCAGAATTGCCGAAGTCCCAGTGATTCCAGTTTGTACTGTATTATTTTTCACCGTAATCCTTCCAAAGCTTAGTTCACTCTGTCCATAATTTTTCAAACATTTGAATTCTCTCGTAGAAGCGATTTTTTTCAGACTTTTTAAAACATACATTTACAGCTTCAATTAACTCTTCATTTAATAAAAATCGCTTTTCAGTCAGGAATATTTTAATCTCTATGAACAAATAAAAATCTAGGAAGCCAAATAAGGTAATACAGAGGATGTTAAAATTTCTGAGCTTTCTTAATTGATCACTTTTTTTTATGATTATACTTAACCCTTTGACGCACGGTGGTTGCACCCTGAAACCATCAATTTTCTAATTTTTTTCTCCTCTTCCTTCCGAAATTTTTGAGTAAAAATCAATTGTTTACTGATCTTTTACGTCTAAATAACACAAAACGACTGCAGAATGATACATGTTTTAGGTCTTAGTGCTTTAAATCGAATGTCTTTTAAAATTGGTTTTGAATGTGACAAAATAACTTCCTTTTGTTAATATAAACAACTTTAAATTTCAAAAGTTATTCATCACACATCATGATTTCTATCACAAACACTAAAAAAATAGCAATAATTAAACTGCATATATAAAAAAAACCCTCTATGTGTATGGCATTTGCTTTGTGGTTTCAGGGCGCGACCACTACACCACTAGAGCATTGTGTCACGATGCTCTAGAGGCTCAGTGGTCGTGCCTTGAAACCACTGCTCTTCACTTAAGTCCTAGTTTCCATGCAAAATGCAAATTACTTGTTCATGTGAGATGACCACAGCTTCTTTAATTTTAGACACTCCTCTTAAAAATTTTAAAAAATTTAGCAAAGATTCAGGCTTTAATGCACTTTTTTTAACCCAAGGAAAACTCATCATGCTGAAAGCTTTTTAATCCCTATTCTTCATGCAAAATGTGAATTACTTGTCATGTGAGATGCCTATAGCTTCTTCAATTTCAGGCACTCTTTTTAAGTGAAATCGCATCAGAGACTTTGCATGGTTTTCAATAAAATGTTCCATAGATAAGAATAGCATCCAATTTAGATTTGTGTTCTATTGCAGTTCCCCCCCCCCAAATGGTTAAATTTTATGGCTGCTCAGACATTGTTTATATCCATATCTGAAAACCTGCAAAGCTATCTTAATAAAATGTATGTTAAAGTCAATCAACTTGAAATTTGCTTTCACATCATATGAAAATTTTACTAATGGAAAGACGTTAAAAACAAAAACAAAAAAGATAGTTTGGTGGGGGAGAATAATAGAATTTCCAGAAACTTTTCAATCTTATGAATTTTAAATGTTACTTATAGTGTAGGTGCCCGTAAATACTTTTGAATGTTAGTTATTTGAGTATGTATTGATTGTTTTAAAATTTTTAAAATACTGCTTTTTGTTAAAAAATGTGTTCTATTAAGTTTTCTTTTTATATATATATATTCACTTTTACAGGCTGTTGATTATGATAATAATGTTTGGAACACAAAGTATTGTATTCAGCAAATGTTAGGTTCCCTTCAAGAAACAGAGAAAGGAAAAATATTACTTAGTGCTCAACAAATGGAAGTTATATGGTAAAATGCATTTTTATTTATTTAGTATTTTTAATGCAAATAATTTTAAAAGAAAATATTTTATGAGGAGGAATGCTGGGCATTTAAGATATTTATCATACATGAGGGAATTGCTGAATTTTAAATTATTATAAATTTTTATAAGGTTGAATAATAATTTATTTAAAATTAATATAGTTATTTTATTACTTCTACACATAGAGAAACTCTGGTTAATGCAAATTCATTATTTGCAATAATCACTAAACATAATTGAAATGAAAATATTTTATGCTTTAAAAGGGAGATTAATTAGTAGTGTGAGTTTTTTACCTTAGACAAAATATATTGCTTATAGTCTGCAATAATAAGTATATTTCAGTGTAGCAGTGTTGTGTTAGAAAACGAAAAAATAAAAACACTTAAGAGGTGCTAGTTGCAACATTCATTATATTCAATAAAATATTAATGCTGCTTGTTCTTAACAAGTTTAGAGATTAATCTATTTTTTACTAAGATTTATTAAACATCACATCGACTTCTCTGCATGGTAAAATTTACTTTTGTGCAAAAATTTCAATAAAAGTAAAAGAATAGTATCCCAATCAAATGTTTAGACACTGATTAAAAATTTAATTTAGATTAGTTTATATAATTCTCCCATTCTCAAAATTTGCTCTTACTAATAATTTAATTATAATTAAAATAATGGTTTTATTACTGTGCAAAGATTTTGCAGATGTTTTAAATATTATTTTTACAATTATTAAATATATCTCCAAGACTTCTTTCCCAGTTCCAGTAATAATTTTTCATGTTTAAAGAAGCTCAGTACTAAATTCTGGTAGAATTTGTGCAAAAATCCTATTCTAATGTAATCTTTTTTCAAGATCCAAACAGGGACTTTTTATTATTTCACAGTTATACTAGATCTCTGAAATGTCAGAAAAGTTATACAGTAGAAGTCCAGAAATCTGCAAAGCTTGAGACCAGAGATTGTGCGGATTTCAGGACAGAAAAGATAAATCATAATATTCAGACTCAAAGTGCAAAATAAATAAGGCATATTAGATACATTTAATTAAATTATTATATACATTATCGCAATAATTTATTATATGCATTAAATTATTATTACATATATAAAATGATTATATTATTCATTGTATTATATGTACACAGCATCTAGGTTTGCTGATTTTGCCTCATGCAAAGATTTCCGGTTTTGGATTCTGGTGTTAGAATCACTGTTGCTGTAAAACTTCAACAACTTTTCCTTATTTTTCCGTATATCATACACAATCATGTTGCAATTCCATACGATTCTGCTACAAACTGAGGAGTGAAACCTGCCTCCATCTTTTGCAGAATTTGCACTTTTTGCATTACCGTTAATGCAGCGTGTTTACGTTTTTCAACGTTGCAAGCAGTAAAATCATGAGTGCATTTCTTATCTGTCATTCTATTAAAAAGGGCTGAAATTTAAAATATTCTTAATTTATCCACAAAATATCCGGATAAAAAAAAGGCAGCAGTAAATAATCTCGTGAAATAACAAAGCTCAGAAAATATAACAATGTAAATCGTGAACTTGAAAGAAGAGTTGAGTGAATCGTCTGCTTTTTCACCTCTGTGCAGATTAGAGAGAAAATAACTTTTATCATGATGTCAATAATTTGGTATTTCCATAATGACTCATTATTATTTGGTAAGTATTTTTTCTTCGATATTTCGTACTCAGTGTTGCGGTTTCCGGAACCTATAAACTGAATGTTTATATTTTGAGAGGCAACGTGGATTTCAAGTCGGCAGATTTTCGCTATTTGACTATAATTAATTACTGTTGTTTGCATCTATGAGCATTGAGATAAGCAGTTTCGATGCAGAACAATCCTTCTTTTCTAAACTTCAAAATGTACCATTTTGCCAAGAAAGTGTTTGTATATATGTGTTTATAATATAAGAAATCAAAATACCTTCTACATATATAGAGGAAATGAAATTCTAAATGAGGAGTATCCAGTAAATGAATTTTCCTGAAGGCTTTCACATAAAATAAGCATAATTTCATGGAAAGATTTATATCATCAAGTATAGCAATTGTTCTGTTGCTATTTCAACATTCTTCCTACCAGAATTTAAGATATTTAGCATACCATTTCACTGGGAGTGAGATAGGGATTACGGAGTTGCCAACTCTCCCGATTTTCAACCACTCTCCCGCCAACCCGATTTACAATATATTTCTCCCGACTTTTTTCTTATTCTTATAATTTCTCACGATTTTTATGGAACTTAGATTAATACTTCATTATATGAACAAAAAAAAAGTGATTTTGGACGTCTGAAAGCAATTGAATTTTATCTAGATTATATCTAAAACAAAACCTTGCGAATCAGATGAGAATTTCTGCTTTGTGAGTGAGAGAATATACGTATCCAGAAACGTCGTTCTCCAGTTCTCCAATGGGCATCGAGCTCCACTGCGTGTCATCTGGCATATATTGGCCAATGAGCACAAAGCAAGCTCAAAGCTGTTAGTTGTATGTTCTTTAGTTAATTCGTTCATCTTGTCCTGAGTTGTGTGAGTACACGTGCCTTCGGGAAATAGTTTTAGAAATTATCATCTTTTGTTATGTCTGTGAGAAAGGAAATACTCGTGTACGTTTCAAAAATTGTACACAGTTGACTTTCCTTCCATTATTTCCTCAAGGAAATGTAATAAATTTGCGATGTGTACCGTCTGTCGTTGTGATTTTTCGATTTCGCGTGGTGGAAGGGCGGATGTTCTCAAACATGTGCGTACACAAAAACACAAAGACAACATGAGTTGTATTGAAAAAAACGAAAAATTAAATTTTTCTTCGGAAACAAAGGATCAAAAAGTTATTATTGCAGAATGTCTGTTCTCTGCCTTTTTACTGGAGCACAACCTGCCACTGAATGCATTGGATCACGCTGCAGCTTTATTTAGAAAAATGTTTCCCGATAGTGAAATCGCTAAGAAATATTCAAGTGCAAGGACCAAAACAGGTGCAATTGTTAAAGAAATGTGTTTGAAAAATAAATCTTTAGTTATTGATTGCATTAAAACAGCTCCGTCCTGCCTCTTTACGAATGGAAGCAATAATACTGATTCAAAACTGTATCCAATTGTTGTTTCTTTTTTTAATCCAGAGTCTTCAGAAATTAAGTGAAGTTTACTTTTTGTCCCCCACTTTAGAAGGACATTCGACAGGTTTTAATATAGCACAGCTAATTGTTAAAACTTTAAAAGAAAATGCAGTCTCTCTGGATAATTTGCTTAGCACTTGGTGCCGATAATGCACCAGTAATAATAGGCTTGAAGACTGTTGTTGCAGGCATCTTAAGAAAAGAAAATTCAGATTTGCAAATTATGAGGTGCACCTGTCACCTCTTAAAATTAGCAGCTGAAAAAGGGGCAGCTTCTTTACCAATAAATGTGGATAAACACATTGTTGATATTTATTATTATCTTGAAAGGAGTTCTAAAAGGAAGGAAAAATTGAAACAGTTCCTACAGCTACATAACTAATATTAGTGATGACGCATTAGAAAAACTTTTATTAGCGAAAGCAGGCCTACATGGCAATTGCCATGAACAAAATTATGAAGTTTCTTTCTTAACAAAAGCAAAATCTGCCACTGTTCATAACATTTGTACGAAAACTGATTAAAGTATCTTTTTTTTTCCCCCCCTTAAACGATGCAAGTAATAAAAAGTTTTTTTGTGTGTAAAGTATTTTTATGTTGCTTGCATTTAAGAATTAGTAACTATTTAAAGTTAATTCGTTATTAAAAACTATATTTTTATCATTTAAAAAGTTTTTTTAACATTGTGAAAAATCTGATTTCTTAAAAAAGTCTCCTGATTTTTGAGTGTCATGGGTTGGAAAGTATGGGATTATATGGTAGAGTTTTTCCTGTGCATCTGTTAAGCGACAAACCACATGAAGTTAAACGTTGATATGCAACAAGACAATGCCTGCACTGTCTTTTATATGTTAAATAACTTGTCATTGTTTATACGGTGTTTTACAATAACAATCAGTGTTCATGCTTGTCACTTCTGGCCAAGATCTCAATGTGTCTCTCCCAGAACATCATGAGGACCATTTTCTGCTCCAATATGACCTGCTTGAATTTGGTCTTCATGGAGATTTACTACGACAGCAATTCATCACCTCCTTTTTTTTTCTGTGCAACTCAAAATTTCATCACCAGTAATTATGTAAGCCAGGAATTTGTCTCTGCCTTCATGTTACTGCTGTAGAAATATCAATACTGAACCCATAAACTTCGTTTTATGTTTAGATGCCAGTTGCATCGTAACACACCTTGTGACAGTTTCCAGAAGAGAGTGCTTCGTAGCAATTTTTTGCAACCAGGAGCAAAGAACTGCGGGAAATAGCTGCAGATTTCTATAAGCATGAAGCGACTCATGCATCATTGCATTTTCATAACTAGTTTATCTGTAATGACCAGTGGCTCCTTACTTTTAATGCATGTTTTATCAGCCTTCTGAAAATACTGATTGCAGAAATGTGCCATTTACTTGCTCATAACATTTGGCCCAGGCACCAGACAGAGCTTAAAATTACAAACACTTTCAAAAATTTTATCACAAACCAAACCTTGCAGTGGGGTCTTCAGTAAAATAAAAGCTGCAATCTTCAGCCATTGTAGTAATACTACTGTAAACAATTTGGAAATACAGTACAAAGTCCGTAATCCGGACGTCTATTGTCCGGAATGATCTATAATCAGGACCTCAAAGCCACAAACTTTTTTTTATGCATTACGCATGCGCGTTGGGAGGATGTATCTAGAGATACGATAAAAATTGCTTGCCATAATTTATGGCCAGCTACCATATTTCATGGTGAGGACGATGAAGATGATAGCCGCAAATTTGAAGGTTTTCCGACATCACAAACTAAAGGTGGAATTTTCCCGTTATTGGATTTTGTAAAAAAAATGTGGAGAAGCAGTAATAAATGAAGATGATATAAGAGAAGTTTTTCATTACGACGACAATGCCCCAATCATTAATTAATTAACGGATGGTAAAATCTGTAGTATGTTTCTAGATCAGAAAATACCACTTCCGATAGTGAAGGAAGTGACAGAGAGGAATGAAAAATTTTGATTGACAAGTTAGTCGGTATTCTCGACACAGCAATTACAGGACTTGAACAGTGGAACTTTGTAACTGAACCAGAAATTATGTCTGTTTATAGAATTAAAGAGAAAGTATTAGCACAAAAAACGAAGCAACTTAAACAACATACATTGAAAGAAATGTTTAATAAAGTAAACAAATAAATATTAAGGTTTTTTTGGTAAATTTTGATACCCTTGAGATCATAATTGCTCTTTATTTCATAAATTACGGTTTCATATTTTTAATTCTATAATTTCTGCATGCCATCTTACCAGATTTAAAGTGATGATCTATAATCCGGAAAAAACCATAATCCGGAATCGCTGAAGTCCCGACGAGTCTGGATTACGGACTTTGTACTGTACTACCTTGCTCACTTGCTTTCCATGTCATGATCCTAACTCATGCATGCACTGCACTGCCCTTCTGCAAAAGTATGGCCTTCCATTGTGTATATAAGAGAAACTGGCTTTTTGGATACACTTCATAGTAGCATTGTTTATATTGCCATAATTTGACTGATTTATAGATATATGTTTGAATTTTTAATATGTTTATTAATGTGCTGATTTAGATACTAACAGTTGTTTGTATCATAGCTTTGTATATGGTTGATTTTTGTTATACTTATTTATTTTTGAAATGTTAGGTATAAATCCTCAGCACCTTATTTAAAGGTATGAATCTTTGGTTGTAAAGTTTTTTTGCTAAATTGTTTGTATAAATTCTGAAAATTTCAAAAATCTTGCCAAGAAATTATATAATATGTTTAAATTATATTAAAAAATTTATATTATATAAAAAAAATATATAATGACTTTTTTCTCCCTTTGATGAAACTGTTATCATAATTGCTGCTGTAATTTTTTATTATATTTCCTTAATATGGTTTTGCTTAACACATACAGTCAAAAGTCGTTAATCCGGACTCGTCCGGACTTCGGCGATTCCGGATTATCGATTTTTCCGGATTATAGATCATCAGTTTAAATCTCGTAAAATGGCATGCAGAAATTCTAAAATTAAAAATATGAAACCGTAATTTATGAAATAAAGAACAATTATGATCTAAAGGGTATCAAAATTTGCATAAAGAAAGAGCTTAATATTTATTTGTTTACTTTATTAAACATTTCTTTCAATGTAAGTTGTTTAAGTTTTGCTTCGTTTCATGTGATAATACTTTCTCTTTAATTCTATTAAACAGACATAATTTCTTCTTCAGTTACAAAGTTCCGCTGTTCAAGTCCTATAATTGCTGTGTCAAGAACACCGACTAATTTGTCAATCGAAATTTTTTTGTTTTCAATAACCTCTGTCACTTTTCTTCCCTATCGGAAGCGAATTATAATGACGAGGAACTTGTTTTAAATCATATCAAAGACGGAGCATATCGAGATGAAATACTACATTTGGTAAGGAATTATAAGCCAAATAAAATAAAAACATCTGCGCTGAAGATAAGGATAGCGTTGACAGATCAACTTCCAAATCATTACGCGCCCGCCTCGGCGATCCCCCCCGCCGAGCAGCGTGAAATTGATAAACAGATTTCGGATTTCAAAACATACTTTCGCTTTAGATCCTTTACATATTAACGAATATATATCGGAAATTCTATTTGATATAATCGAAAGTTTAAGCTTACTTTTATAAAATTGGTTTTACAGTCTGCAAAAAATAATAAGCCGGATCCAATTCGAAAATTAAGGAACCACGCAATCATCAACATTAACTGAAATAGATAATTAGATAATTTTAGCTTATACGTCCATTATACATAAAACGCGCACGCGAAAACGTATTCTGCACTTGCGCACTCATATGCGCAGTCGTAAAAGGTCTTACGCGCACGCGTAAACGCCTATGCGCATGTGTCAACGCGGCGCATGCGCAGAAAGTTTTTAGTTTTGAGGTCCGGATTATAGATCATTCCGAATTATGGGTGTCCGAATTAACGACTTTTGACTGTATTAAATAATGGGTTAATTATTAAGTGAGACGTTTTCTGGGTGTCTATTCAAGGTACGAATACTGAATAATCATCATATGTCAAATACATGTAGTTGCAATATTTGAAGGCACGTATGGTTCTTTTTTAAAATTCTTGAATGAACCTTTTAAGTTGCAAACCAATGCTTTTCATTCAGTAAATACCAACAGTGTTATCAAATTTTTAAATTATGCTAAATAATAAATTTTGATGAAATTTCACACTTAGTATAATCGATAAATATTTATCTGAATAAATGTTTTGAAACCAAAATCTTAATTAAATTATTTGGAGTGTCTTTAGCTATTTTATAAGTATTAGGAGACCTATTGCATTTTATTAGTTTTGATTTTTAATAATGTAAAATGATCTTCCTTGCATTAAATGTGACTTTTGAACAGCGAGCTGTGGAATTTAAGTGATTATTTAAAAAGAAAAGTAGCAGAGCATCGTTCGAAAGCTGAAAAACTAAGACATTTGCATGAAAGAGATATTGAACTACAAGCATCCTTAAAAAGGAGACGTGTGGCTGATAATGACATTCATGAAATGGATGTGAAATTCCAAAGGTAACATTTTTTCTCAATAGTATGATTTTAAATTATAACAATATGAATTACTTTTGATACTTTCTCGTTATCTGCACCCCCACAGAAAAGCAGTATACTTATTAGTAACTTCATAGAGAAGCATTTGTTTGGGTATCTTTACATCTCTTTCAATGATCAGGGCTACATATTTTCTTGCAATTTTCTTTTTCCATGCAGGATGTTATACACTTCTTGTTTTATTGCACTGATGTTCTCTCCATGTACACAGCAACCTTCTCTTCCAAAAAGGTATTTATTTAAATTAGGCATATTACAATTTACGTATGCAGAGAATTACGTATGCAGAGAATTTTAGATTTTCCTGAAGGCAATGAAAACTGCGGTATGCAGTTCACCACTATTCTAAAATGCTAAAATTTGCATGAGAGGAATCATAATCTGCAGTCACACTGGGCATACTGCCCAGACAAGTGGAAAGCCATCTGAAGGGATATGAGTTGCCACATAAATATTTTTTGGCAGCATGATGTATTGCCCTATCGATGTTTTTTCTGCTACTTTCAGTGGGTGTGCAGGTAATGAGAAAGTAGCTAGCTTTTTTATATAAAGATTAGCAGAGATTTTTTTTATATAAAATAGAACTTTCTGCATGTGGATTAGCCATTTTGGTAAAATTCCAAAAGGATAATTAAGCTCGATTGTTCATACCTTAAATTTGTAGTCTCCAAAAATGCTTGTGTTTTATGAAGTCTGTATGAAATATGTATTATGTGAAATGAATTAAATATGTTTTGCTTAATTATAATTCAGGCACTTCAAAAGCTTTTTCTGAAATATGTGAAATGGATTGAATATAAATTATAATTTGGACACTTCAAAAGTTTATGTACATGTGTTTTACTGTGTATGCAAGCCACTAGTGGACAATAAACACTAGCCATTATTTATGGTTTTTAATACCATAAATAATGGCTTAAAAATTTACCAGATTATTTATGGTTTTTAAAAGCTCATTTCCCACTGTAGGCAGTAGTTAGGTTGGCATAAACAGCTATGTAGGTAGGCATGCATAAGAATTTTAAGTTGCATTTCTGTAAAATTCTACTGATGCAGTTGATCGAACAGCAAGACAAGGAGCATAGGATTTCGTACACTATTAGACTTGCTACAGTGGAAGCCACAGTCTGTGCAAATGGTTGAAAATACTGCAGTTGTTAAATTTAAAGCTATGAAAATCTGCATGTGACACATTTGAGTTGTCCAGTTTTCAGTATCAAATTCAGCTTAATAAGGAAAAAGATAAATCTTTTTATCTTTGTTGAAACTAATATCAACTGCAGTATATATTACTTATTACAGACCTTTTTGTTCCTACAAATGAGTAAATGAAAATAGGAAATGTTGAATTACAGATCTTTGAACTAGGCGGAGCTGAATCTTCTTTGCAAATCACATGTAAAAGAAATTAAATCATTGATTTATAAGATGGCAAATAGGTAGAAATGGACCTATCAACATGGCTTGCAGGAAGTCTTCATATCCCATTAGACTTCTTCCTCTGTGGCTTTTGCAGAAAAATAATTTTCACGTTAAGACTCAACGTTAAGACATTTTCACGTTAAGACTCAACTTGAAAATAAGAACTTCCAATTGAAACACAAAAATATTTAATAAAGAGCCTATGTACATTATTTACATTATTCAAAACACAAAATTTACATATAATATAAATTTCCTCATCATAGGGCCAAGATTAGTTTATCAAGAACAATTATTATAATTGTTGATTACCGCTATGTGGCCAAGAATAGATCATTTCAAGCATCTAACTCAAGCTAAAACTATTACATTCTTTCTCTACCGCCAGTCACGTGACCCAGTTGGCGACAGATGATAAATAATAACAGAAAAATTGGCTCCATCGGAGGGAAAAAGAAGTAAATAGGTTCATCACAAATTTAACTAACCATTACAATATTGCTATAACAATAAGAAACAAATAAAAATTACTTACATATGCAGGTCACATTATATCAATAATTTCTTCATAACAAGACAAAATTTTTCTGAAACTATAGAAAAAACAAACAAAAAAAAACATTTAAATTAACATTTCTCAAGATCACCACAAATCATTAAACCAAGGAAAACAATAAAATGAATAAATGAAAATATTATGAAACAGAATAGTTTTTTTATCAGTTTAACAATCATTCAGTCTATTTTTTGACCAGTCACTGATTATTGCAATTACCAATATCATAAATTTCGAAATTGTACAATAGCTGCACTGGACGTTTGATTACCGAATTACCAGTTTTCACTTCACACGATCTGATCATTCCATCTCTACCAATAAAGGTTTTGGTTATTCTTCCTAATTTCCACCAACTTCTAGGTAATTTTCATCATGAACAAGTACTATATCATTAACGTTGAATGCAGATGGTTTCTTCTGACCGGTATAATGAGCAGATCTCAAGCACAGGAGATATTCTTTTTCCATCTGTTCCAAAAGTGATTTATTAGATTTTCTCGTGTACGGAAACGTTTTAACATTACTTCTCTGGAACCTGGTAAATTCAAGTCATTCCTCCTTACAGCTGGCAAACTCAAGAGTCGTTTACCAATCAACAGGTGGGCTGGAGTAAGTGCGGAGGGCTCTTCAAGATCAGAAAAGACATATGTTAATGGGTGCGAGTTTATCATCGCTTCTATTTCAAGCAATTGTTTATCATTGCTTCTAATTCACTTTGAGTCAAAGATGATTTCCCAATGTTCTTTCCTAAACTAGTTTTCACACTGCGAACTAAACATTCATGAAAACCGCCCCACCAGGCAGCATGTTCTACAATGTATCCATGTGATTCCATGCGAAGCATAAAATTTTTTAACTTCATGGTGGTTAATCACTTTCCACATTTGCTTTAATTCAAGTTCAGCTCTTTTAAATGTTCTAGCATTGTCCAAGTACACAGTGGAACACAAACCTCTTCGGGATACGAACCTGCGGAACGCAAGTAAAAAATTCTTCAGTGCTCATGCCTTTTACGAGCTCAAGGTGAATAGCTCTTGTAGTAGCGCAAGTAAACAATAAAATGTAGTATTTGTTGTCATTTTCTTTTACATACAAAGGACCTGCAAAATCGAGTCCACAAATTGCGAAAGGTGGAGATTCATTAACTCTATCCGCTGGAAGAGGTGCAGTGATTTGTTGTCCAGGACGTACATTATATTTTTTGCATATTATAAGCATTTACTCAGGATTGATTTGACGTATTGTTTTCCTCTTAAGAGCCAGAATTTTTCACGTATATGCACTAGAGTATCCAGATACACCCGCATGATAAACCTTTTCATCCGCGTCTTGTACTACTAATTCACTTAATTTATGCTTTGAAGAGATTACTATTGGATGTTTGTTGTTAAATAGTAGGTTTGACTTTTGTAACCGACCTCGTACCAAAAGTAGACCTTCATCTGATAATATGGGATTTAATTCGAACAATTTTGAATCTTTTGGAATATGCTTGTTTTCTCTTAGGGACTCTATAACTTCAGGGAAACTATCTTCTTGAGCTTGTTTTAACCAAAAGGTTTCAGATTTACTGATTTCTTCTGCTGAAATTTCCACAAAATTTCTATTTTCCCTTTTTACTTTTAAATTTGATATAAATCTGAAAATCCAAGCAGTCACACGATAAAGTTTTTTCAAGGAACTAAATTTCGTCAAATTCATGAGTGGAACTTTTTCAGTTTTTTGTCCGTTTTGATCACACGCTAGGATAGCTTCCGATTTTCAAGATTCTTCTAATACATTATATAATTTTTGCGTTGATAGTTTGGGTTTTGGCCATTGACTTTCAGGTAACGAAAGAAATGCAGGGCCATGCCACCATTTCGAAGAATTCTATCAGTTCTTTTGCAGAACAACCCTTTGTTATTAGATCTGCAGGGTTGAGTTTTCCTTTCGCAATGTCTCCATGAACAAGGATCTGAAATTTCATGTATTTCTGAAATTCTATTAGCAATGAAAGGTTTCCATCTTTTAGCTGTACTTTTAATCCAATGTAGAACTATTTCCGAATCTGACCATAAAATGACATTTGAAATATGTAGAATATTTTTCAGGTAGTTGGCAACCCTAGCACCCACCAGTGCTCCCATCAATTCAAGGCGGGGAAGCGTTAATTTCTTTAATGGTGAGCAACACGTGATTTTGCCAAAACAAATGTAGTTTCAAATTTATCTTCATCAGTTCTGTATCTCAAGTATGCGACTGAGCCATACGCATTCGGATTAGCGTCACTAAAAATGTGTAACTGAACAGTGTCCCTGTCTAAATTTGGTACATGAAAATAATATCTGGGAATTTTCAACATTTTAAGTTCTTTTATTTCAGAGAGCCATATTTTCCAGTCATTTTCGAGTTCTCCAGAAAAAAGATCTCATCCCAAGGTACCCCTTGAAGCCATAGCTGTTGCAATAAACATTTAATTCGAATTACAAAGGGTGCGATAAATCCAGATGGGTCAAAAATTTTGGCTGCTATTTTTAATACATTACGTTTGGTACATTCAGTGTTTATAGAGGACAGTAAGGGTGTTAATTCTAGTCCTAAGACATCTTCATCATTGTTCCATATTAAACCTAGTACTTTTAAGGATGTACATGGAGTGTCACTATTGAGAGAGATTAACTTTTCCTCAAGCCATTTCTGTTTAAGCTCTAGGGAATTGGTTTCGAATTTTCTTAGATTTAGACCTTCTTCAGCAAGAATTTTAACAGATTCATTTGATAGATTAAGCGCTTCTTCAACAGTTGTTGCTCCAGAAAATAGGTCATCCATGTAAAGATTTGAGTTAAGCATTTCAAAAGTCTTAAAGTTGGAATTCTTGTACTAATCAATATGATGTTTCATTGTGCAGGCAAGGATGAAAGGCTACAAGTTACACCAAAGGTTGCTCTTCTCATTTGTAAGAAATTACACTCTCTTTTCTATCAAGGTTTTTAAAATA